TTCTTTTGCGTAAAACTAAAATTCATGCCAATATTTTTCCATGATTTATAATAATTGGAGTAATGCAAATGCATATTTTCTAAAAAAAGTCAATTTTTAGTGAAATTTTGCCGGGAATGGGGCTTTAAAGGCATTTGTTTTTGCTTGTAAAATGCTCAGATGAAAATGTCTTAAATGCATTTTCGGACGTCTACAGTACAAAAAAAAATTTTTTTTAGAAAAGTTTATTTTGGCATTTGTTTAAATTATAGTTAAAAATAATGATTCTTGCAATACTTTCCTTAATAAATTTAAATGTAACGTAATAATTTTTTTCCAACCATCTAAGTCGCATTGTTATAGTGACGTTCATCCCTAACAACGCAAATAACTTCGCTTGCGCTTTCTTAAACTGCATAAAAAGTCACATCAATAGATAGATGGTAATAATCATTACTTTAAATTCAAATTTATTATTAAAAAGTTTTGCAAGAATTGTTATTTTTAACAATAATTTAAACAAATGCAAAAGAAACTTGTCTAAGGCCTAGTTCAGACTAGGCAGATAAACCCAACTGCCAGTCTGAACTAGGTGGCTTATCTCATGCCAGGCTGTGTTCCTATAGTAACAAAGCCTGGCGTGGCACCGTGTTTAACTTTCATAAGCCGGGCTTTAATTGTTGCGGGGGGTCTTGCATTGACTTCCAGGTAACAGAATGACCAATCAGCATTCAATTACGTACGCTGTGAGCGATCGTACGTACGTTTCGCGAGCAATGTTTTGAAACATGTTTCCTGGTTACGGTTCATTATTATGCAAATTCTCGCCTGGCTAAACCCGCTAGTCTGAACGCCCGGCAAAGTTAAGCCGGCTTAACTCAAGCCTGGCATATCTCCAAGTCTGAGCTAGGCCTAAAATGATACGTAGGCCTCCCAACATGGCGTCGGTGGCCTCACTAAAACCAGCCAATGTGCAATCCAGCTATTATACATAGTAGAGATCAGTGACCTGCATACATGTTCCTTATTCTGTCTTAAAATTAACTTGCTTGATGGTGGCACTGTCCAGAATGATAAGAAATAATAATAATAAGGGACTTGTGGCAAGTCTAATCCATCATGAATGAAGTGAAAAAATATAAAATTCCCTAATCATGCCTGCTGCTGGTAGCGGGTCAAAACGGCAATAAACCAAAACGGCAATGAACCAAAATGGCAATGAACCAAAACGGCAATGACAAGTACCAAAACGGCATAGACCAAAATGGCCAAGGAGCAAAATTAATGCCAAGACTAGCAAGCGCCAGCGGGCGCAGGCCACAGTTATAATTTTCTTAATCATTTTGAAATTGTCCCAATAAGCAAATCGAATATTGCAATGGGCTCTTTTTCCCACTTTTAATGTTTATTATCATTATTTCGCATTTTTTTACATTTATGACATAAATTGTTTATCTTCATTTGTTTGTATTTGAAAGTTTTATTTGTTTAAATGTTTTACTGCTTTAATAATATTGTTTCCGCTTCCCCCCACCCCCACCAATCTTTTTAATATTGAATTTGTAAAGCCTACTAGGCCTAGCCTAGGCCTATTATTGGATTGCCGTTGAATACCCTTGCCGTTTTGGTCTAGGCCTATTGCCCTTCTGATCAAAAAGTGTTGCCGTTTTGGTTTTTTGCCATCTTGGTCATTGCTGTTTTGACTGGTGGTCCTTTTGACTTATTGCCGTTTTGGTTTATTGCCGTTTTGTCCAGAAACCCTGCTGCTGATCATAGTACTGTAGCCTGTAGGCCTAGGCCTATCCTCTATACTCTAGGATAGGCCTAGTAGTATTAATAGCACACCTAGTATTATTATTAGTAGTAGTATGTAAGTAGCTAGGTAGCTAGGCTATACTAAAATATCAGTGAGAGTCTTGCCTAGGCCTAGTAAGTATAATGTCTAGGAGCCTGGGCCTAGTACTAGTAGTAGGCATGCAGGTGAGCGAGGGCTGAGGATAAGCCTAGGCGTAGGCCTAGTAGTAGTCTAGTAGCCATCGGTTGTTAGGTTAGACCTGCGCCTGGCCGAAGCTAGCCTAGGCTAAAATTTACCGAGAATTAACACAAAGTTTAAATAAAATACAATACCTCATTTAACTGCTGTTCGGAAGTTTCACGTGTGTCAGGGTGTATAGTTCCCTGCAGAATTTCTACAATTTTTGTAACATCCATTTTTTCAGTATTTTTCTGGTAAAATACAAGAAGAATTCATTGGACATAACACATGTGTAGCAAAAAACCCGGCGCGAATGGCAGATTTCGTAAGCTCGAGAGAGCATGCGCAAACGAGTTGTGACGAAATCATCAGTGAACAGCACTGAGTGTGAGTGATGACACACAATGAGGCACGCGTATGTCACCCACACGTTGGTCACACCATACACCACACGAACTGTTCTAGTTTCTCTAATACAGAAACCAGAGTATCCACGTCCTAGGCCTACATAGAGCAATTAGTTTTAAATAAAACAAAAACACAGTAACTATTTATATTATTAAATAGGCATGGGGCCGATGCACAGGATGCAGAGTGCGATCGCACCCCCTGCCCCCTAAATTTTATTTTTAAAAATAATTGTTGTAACAGTACGGGCAAAAACGGGCCAGGGGTTTAGGCGGTGGAGGTGGGGGGGGGGACAGCTCTAAGGCCAAGGGAATACGGGACAGTTTTTTAGAGTGCCAAATGGTAAAAATCAACACCGGGATCATCAACACATTATTCAACCCCCATTAAGGCCAAAATTAATGTATACTTGTGTTGGCCACGTTTGGGGGGGGGGGGGGCGGGAATGTGTAGGCCACTATGGTCGGTAGGATTTTTTTTACCAATTGTTTATGCCTAACAAGTAGAAAATACACAAAAACTAAAATGCCGAACCTCAATGTCGTACATTTTGGGTCGATCAGGCTTGGCAACACAATATTTTTTTTTTCTTATGGCCTACAGGGACGCCTATTTTTATTTTTTTTTTTTTTGTACGTAACACAATAACTGCAGTAGGCCTACTAAAAAATAATATTATGTTATGTAAATTTATATTTTGACACCTTATGAGCCACATACATCAAGCCAGATTGTTGTTCTAGATTCTTAAAATAGACACAATGTGTTTGTGCTCTTTACCTCTTGGTATACTGAACAAATCTGAGTATTATAACCAAGAGATTTGTGTGTGTGTTCTTTCAGATTCCAATCCACCGTACCTGCCCTGATTTCTGAGTCATTAGTCTATGCATGCTAATAATATCTTGGCTGCGTCGATTATAGAAAACTCAATAATTAAAAGGAAAAAAAATGGATTGAAACAAGATTTGTTAGTCTTGATACTTAAAATAGATGTGTGTGTGTGGGTGTGTGTGTGTGTGTGTGTGTGTGCACGTACTTAAAACACTTGTCAATTTTGACCATTGGGATTTTTGTTCTTCAGGATTACCGTCCCAGACGTACCTGCACTGAGTCATTACTCTAATAATGCTGTTATATATTGTGCGTCCAAAGGGGAAAAAATACAAAACAAAAACACACATTTTGGTTGAAACCAACTGTCTTCTTGATTCTTAAAAATATGTGTGTGGGTGTTTGAGTGTACGTATATATACTGAAAAAACACTATTCAATTTTGGCCATTAAACCATAGGATATGTGTGTGTTCTCGTGATACCAGTATACCGTACCGGGTACCAGCCCTCATTTCTTAGTCATTTCTATTCATGATATATTGTGCGTCCATAGAAAACTCAAAAAAAAAAAAAAAAAAAAAAAAATTGGTTATTTAAAATTTAGGCCTCCTAAATTATGAAATATAATTTGGATTACAATCCTATTGATTTGATATATCATGAATGAATTGTACCTACATTATTAAAAATACAAATTCTATTTGTGAAAATATGCCATCATTTCCTGGCGTGAAATCCCAATGGGGACGATTTCAAATACCGGGTTGGTGACAGACACATATGACTTTGAAGCAGTTTTGCACTCACCCATGGAGCACCTGCCATTAACAAAAGAAGAAGATATTATGTTCGCCCTTGTTGCTTGTCTTTGACACGCAAGGCAAAATAATATAAAAAAAAATAAAAGACATAAAATACAAAACAACGTGACTCAAAATGTTAGAGGTACAATATGAAAAAGATACATTTTTAAAAGAAAAGGAAAATACAAGAAAAGATTAAAAGAGAGAAAAGAAAAGAATATATAAGCGCTGATGTGATCAGCTGAAATAGAAAGAAAAGGAAAAGTAACTGAAGGTGAAAGAAAAATGTATTGTAGACAGATTTTAATGAAAAAAAGCATAAGGGAAGAGAAGATGATAAATAAAATTTAAAAATATTAGAGATACAATTTTCCAGGAACTTAAAAATGAGAATACAACCTTGATATATTTTGGGATGTTTACTTCAAGTTTAGCAAATTTTAGACACCATCTTTTCTTTGATGACCTGTCTATCCATAATGAATTTCCCCTTAAATACAATTTGGTTGATTCTGATTACAATGATGCAAGTTTTATCTTCGACAAATATTGTAAAAAATACCTTTATATTGCTTGGAAACGCAATGAGCTGTACAAGAAGCTGTAATATTATATTGAATTGACTTTGATTCTGCCCTGGTCCGTAGAAAAAGAAAATAAATAAATAAATAAATAATCGACGTTCCGGTAATTTCACACGACTACTAAGTACAGGTTTTTGTGCAGCTCAGTGTGTTTCATTCAGTTTACTTACTAAATTATGTAAGAATTTTTTAGATATACAAATAAGGGTAAAACTTTACTGTAAATCGCTTGGTTTTGTTTTTGTTATGCTATTTATCCGTTTGTTGTTTTTGAACTATCTTTCGCTTTCCTTTGTTTATATTGTATATTGTTAATGGGTGCACCATAAAGTGATCTAAAAGTGAACCCACTCGTATCGTATCGTCTTACGCCCGCATTGAGCACCCACATTTTGGTTGAATATGCGCTTTAAAAATCCCTATTATTAAGCCCTTTCTAGACTATCAAACTTTATTTTACAAAAGCATTTGACAGGCCTAATTATGGTCATGATGACATCATATCATGATCGTATATAGGCATATTATGACTATATTATGGGCATAAGTTTTCAATCAGGCTTATTTCTCCGTCCATGCCCCAAGGCCTAGTTGTTTTAAAAACTTACCTAGCGCCCTCTATAGTTTATGAGAGTTTAAAAGCGGGTAGCTTTAAAATCTTATAACAGCAAGCTGCAGACGACAGAATCTGGGCAGGCGCTTAGCCTAGAAAGAAAACCTTCTTACGGAAATCGTATGCTGTGGCTTGAAAATTAATTCGTGGGAAAAAATTTGGTATTTAATAATCCATATATAATTATAATAAATAGGAGTATAAACAACGTCATTGCCTGCCCGCCAAAGGTAGGACCTAGTCTCGAATAGTATTAGTATAGTAAACCAGCAGACGGAACAGGAAGAAGTCAGGACTTTGTTTTGTTTCGGGATAAGGTGCGTTACCAGGCTAGGCTAGGGGTGTAAGGTCGTTTCGGCCCAGGTCATAATATAGCCTAGGCCTAGAGGCAGTATAGAACTACCTAGGCCTACCTAGTCTTAGTTTAGACTATTTTCGTTTTACAAAATAATTGATTTGATCTGGGTCTGTCTGGATGAAAGGGACCCTAGCCTAGGCCTTGGCCACAAGTCAACTCGGCCACAAGTCAACTCGGCCACAAGTCAATTCTGCCACAAATCAACTCGGCCACAAAAAGTTTGGCTACACCCAACTTGGCCACAAGCCAACTCGGCCTCAAGTCAACTCCGCCTCAAGTCAACTCGGCCACAAGTTATTTAATGTAAATCTCTGTAGTTTTTGCATCCTTTTTCTTCAATATCATGATTAAAATAAAGTACAGTATATTTTAGTAAAACAGGACCACCACACTACCATAGTACCAAAAGAGATTTGAATGCTATTGCCTATGAATTAAAAAGAGTTATTTATTAATGTGTTCATCTTCTGTTTACTCACAACATTCTACTTATATTCAATAATATTAAACAATAATAACAACAATAAATTAATAATATTTACTTTAATAATACTAATTAGTCATTATGACGATAATAAAGGTGATAACAACAACAACAACAATAATAGTAATATTTATTTTAACAATACTAATAGTAATAATACTAGTATGGTAATAATAACGATATTATTTAAATATCAATTTTAATAACTAATTAATGATAATAACGATATTGAAGGTGATAATAGCAATAATACAACAATAATAAATTAAAGATAATGTTTATTTTTATAATAATAGTAATACTAATTAGTAATAATAATAATAATGATACTTAAATACTAGGCCTACTTAATAATAATAGGGTAATAATATCGATAATAAAGGTGACAACAACAATAATAATATTAATAATAATATTATTATTATTATTATTATTATTAACAATATGAGAAAAATACCAATAAAACACCAATAACAATAACTTTTTAAATTTCTATTATTAAAATAATAATACTAAGACTAACAAATAATAATAATAATAATAAATCGAAAATTGTTTATTATTTATATGGTACTGTAATAATAATATCAGCAGAAATTTGAACAATACCGTATATAATGTTAATGCTAATATTAAAACTAACGGTAATAAAAACAATAACAACAATAATAACAGCAATAATTATAACAAGTATAGTAATATGGTACTTAAAGAATTGTTTTATACTTGATGAATTACTCCTTCAAATTGTGGTACCAGTAAATGACTTGTGGCCGAGTTGGCCTGTGGCCGAGTTGATTTGTGGCCGAGTTGACTTGTGGCCGAGTTGACTTGTGGCCGAGTTGGCTTGTGGCCGAGCCTCAATATAGGGTCTAGGCTGGCCATACAATATCCTAGGTGTCTAGTAAATAGTGACGTACAGGTCACAGGCCAGACCTAGGCCTTTTTCACAAATCAGTAGACATCTTGAAGCGATGACAAACATTGCGAATCAGCAGTGCGTAACCAACAGAAATAAGATAAGCTTTTGGGCTGATTTTCTGTCTGACATGTTATTTTAAAAATCATAACGGGCCATCGTATATTATTCATTATAAATATTAAAGGATACCCTAGGCCTAGGCCCTAGCCTATGTTAAAAAGGTTATACAATAATTTATTTATAATTAAATTTATCATTCATTTTGTGGAGAAAAAAAAATCAAAGCTCATTCCTTACCATGCAAACATTTGTTGCAGTGACACAACTGCATACAGCATTTACTGTACTGTTTGGTTACCAGTGGCCCAAAGATCATGAACACATAATACGGATTATCGAGGCCTAACTAGTAATAAATGAACATAGGCCTAGTAATCCTAAAATTAAATCAATCTGATTGTGACGGTAATCAAATTTTTATTTGGCTAATTATTTTCACACTGAATTAGCCAAATTACTTAATATTTTTTGGCCAGCTAAACCTTGATAAAATGCACAGGACTAAAATATAGCCTAGGTTTAAGATTAAGGTGGCCACCTCTTATAAATCAGACAGCCCATGGCTGAGCAGTGGCAGATCCAGGAATTTGAAATAGAGGGGGACCAGGGAGTGCCTCTAGATGGCCAGAAATGGCCCTCTCAAACCTAAATTTGAATATACAGTATTTTTTTCATTTTTTTTTTTTCATTTTTAAATTAATATCTAAAAAGTTAGGGTGTCCTGGGTCAGTTGGGGCCCCTTGAATCTGCCACTGGATTTTAATGATGTGTAATGCACAAAATTATTCAACTGATTTGATAATTTAACATGACATTTTAAGCCATTCTGTTTGTGCTTCAGAATTTTTTTCTCAATTAAATCTTCCTAGGCTATGAGAGGTGGACCCCAATAATCATCATTATCAGTACTGCTGTTTTATAAGTATCAACAATGGCAGTAGCGACAGCATTTAAGCCTGAGGTAAAGGCTGGTGAGGTAGGCGGTAGTACAATTATTACATTTTATTATCAATTTTTTTTTTAAATGCGCCAAATAATTTAAACATGACCAAGTAAACAAGACTGAATAGTCTTAAAAAGGTGACTTGTGTGCCAACAAACACAAACAAAATACTCATTAACAGTTCATTTTGTAGGCCTATTTACCAAACCATATAATACCGGAAAGTGGTATGGTTTTTTTTAATGATAAAAAATTATGGAATGATTTTTGGCACTGGATATGATGTACTGGTTGTTAGAAGTTTTTGATGGACTACAGTAAATTATGGCAAATAATTTACCACTTCCAAATTGCTTTTTATGAGTAATTAAATAAAATTAATCATAAATAATGTTTAATTGTATTGCTTCTTTAGCAACTATACTAATTGCTTTATTGGTAATTGATATACTGTATTTACAGTGGTCAAAAATGTTCCCTTCCAAGCAAGTTTCTGAAACACAGTCAGCTCTATTTGTTAAGAAACTATTAGCAGTGGCGGTTTCTAACATCACATACCTGAGAGCTATTTTTCCCGAGCATGCATATGGTGACCGATGCCTAGAAGGTATTGTACAAATCCAATTAAGACAATATTATTTAAAGAGCATATAAAGATATTAAAGCCAGAATCTGAAGGATACAATTTTTTTGATATGTTTTACAACTGATTTTTCTAAGATATGTAAGGGGTGTTAAACAAAAAGACTTAGCAACGGTTAATATGAGAGGGATACCATTTACCCCCCAGTTTATTATACAGAACTGTATTAAAATATCTATTCGTGAATATACTTTATATTCATATTCTTTAACATGTATTTTAGCCCTGTGATTACCAATCTTTTACCTACCAAAGGTATAGTGCAAATGATTAAGAAAAAAAGAAAGAACCAGTTTGCCAAAAAAACTTACCCTGATTTCGTACTTAAAACTTAATATTTCATTTCAGATATAAAACTGAAGGTGCTCCGAGATGACAGCTCATGCCCTGGGGCTTGTCAGGTCATTCAGTGGGTCAAAGGTTGCTTTGATGCTCTTGACAAAAAATATGTAAGTGATGTTTCTGATAAATTGGGTGTTGATTTATTTTAAAGCCAGGCTTTGGAGGAAACCAATTTTTGATATGTTATACAAACTTGGGAATGGTTAATGAGATACAAAACATATCAAAAAAGAAATTTCCTCCAGAGCCTGGCATTAGTATCAGATTTTTTTTATTTAAATATTTTCTTTTTGGATCATTTAAAACTTAAGAAATATATCCAGCGATCCAGATGAATTTATTTCCTGGGGCAGATTGCTATAAAACGGGAAGGTGAAGGCTGGTGGGGGGGGGGGTGCTCGATGATCAGTTGAGGGGTGCTAATTCGCAAAATATGATGATATTAGGGGATTTTTAACTACTTGACAGTAATTTTTTTTGGGGGGTGGGGCGTTCACCACCCTGCACCCTCCCCTAGATACGCTACTGCTTAACTGGTAGTCTTAACTCCTCAAATAAATCCGGCCTTATCCCTTGGACGGTCTTACTAAAGTCACTCTGCTAAGACCATTGCTATAAAACGTTCTTTGCTTAGGCCGCTTTGAGTATTGAAAAGCAAACAAGCACTCCCTGGTAACATAAAATTGAGAGCACTGTTACGCTTGCTCACAACATACATATTTATCAAAATGAACGTAAACAAACGTAGACCAGTTTTTACAGATGCTGAGAAGTTTGCGGAATATTCATTGTTCGATTCTAAGTCTTCGACAATCTAGGCCTAGGTCTAGTATTTGTAAAGCCATGATGAAAATGATTTAAGACCGTTAGAAGCCTCCTGAGTAGGCTTCAAAATTAAAGACGGCTAATTGGTCAGACCGTGGTATAGCAATGGTCTATAATCGTAGATCAGTATTGACATCACGATTAAAGTCGGCTAAGCTTTAAGACCGTCTAAACTGATGTTCAATATCAGCGTGTGTTTTTATATGTAATCCAAAAATACTCCTAATTTATGTAAATGAGTACAATTTCTTTTTAAAGACTTATTATTGACTTGTCTTGTGTTCTTTTCTTCATTTGCATTTTTTGTTATATTTCACTTACACTTATTAATTCTTTCTTTTTTTTTTCGTTTAGCTAAAAACAATAGTCATTGGGGTAAGTAAACTATATAATAATTCCTTTGACAAACTGTTTCAGGCATAACCAATTCACAATACTCACCATTTAACAATACGTACAAATCCTACAGTATCTCTCCAGCCACTACTGTGCACAGTTTTCCTAATTATAAAAATGATAGACCACAACATATGTGTGCTTATTGTACACCAGTAAGATACTGGGTGTGTCGACATGAGTTTACTTTTTCTATAACATCACAGGCCTAACAACCTAACATACTAAAATCAAACTCTTTTAACATATTTTATAATTTGTCAGATTCCTTTGAGGTTTGAACATGCCACTTTATATAGTTACAATAATAGTAAAATTGATCTATTATACAGTATTTACATAGCACCAATGGCCAGATAGAACAGATTTTTTTTTTTTTTTCAAGTACACTTAATGTATATATCATTTTGTTTCTTTTAGATATATGTTGATCCAAATCATCCTGAGGTAGGTGTCATCTAATAACAAGAATGGTATTGATAAATATTTAAACCTTATTTTAAGGCATACTGTATATACTGATCACTGTGATGGTCATGTTGATGACATTGATCATATTGATGACATTGATAATGATGGCGAGGAAGATGATGGCTGTGACGACATTCATGATAATGAATGATTGTGATGTATTATGATGATAATTGTTATAAATTACTACATTATGAAAAATGAATAAGTAGATGATGGTAATGAATTTAAAGTAGATGGTGATGATGCTAGCGCTCTGAGACTTCTTTGTTTGGAACGCTTTAAAAATGGTTTATTATTGTTATTATTATTATTATCGCATTGTGTTAACATAAATATGGTAATGAAGAAGACGACAACTCAATCATCATCACCATCATGTTGATGATCATGATGATTATGAATTTGATAATGATTAAAATATTGTGATAGAGAGTACTATGCTGTATATTTTTCAGACTGTAATTGAATCATATACATTTAAGTTCAGTTATAATGATGATGGACCAAGTATCAATGTTTACAGGTGAGAATACAGTAGTACAAAATATAAGCAAGTTGAATTGTAAACTGTGGTAGCACCATATCAAGCTTGATAAAGTTGTGCCGCAAATCAAAGAAGCATAACACCTACATGTGTTCACACTATAGCATTAGTAGTAGCATACTCCAATATTCAAACTGTTTTTGCGCTTTAAGATATGCATATAATTAAGTGACAAACACAAGTTATTTACAACAATTAGAAGTGCCCATGGTTGATTGTATATCCCTGATAACATATTTTTTATGAACAGTATTAGCTTTTCATCAGATGCAAAATTACCGTTATTCTTTATAAGTATTTTTCTAATTAGGGAACAAAGCCAATTAAGACCATGAAAGTACCTGTCCCATTTGTAATTGATAATTTTGTTGGATGAGACAGAAATTTCAAAATATAATGGATTATTAATTGAAGGGAGACCTCCACCATCAATACTACAACTAACTCCATGTATATATTCTTCAAATGTCAACATTTTAAAATATTATTTTGAAGAAATAACAAAAAAGTAACAGGAGCGAAAACTGAGGAAGAGACCAAAAAAGCTACCATTCGACTTCTGAGAACTATCATAGTGCTTACACAGTCTCTGAAATCGCTCCCTGATGATGTCATGATGACAATGAAGTTGTTCTTCTATGATGATGGTAAGGTGATCTGTTTCATGTATTTTCATTGTGATTTTGTAGTTTTTAAAGTCAAAGAGAGTCCCCGTAGCTAGTACTTTTGATTTGCTCCCTCACACACTCCCACACACATTGTGATAGCTTAAAGTTTTTTGGGGTTTTTCATTGAAATTCTGTAGTTACTCCAAGCGAGTACCAACCACCAGGCTTTCAAGCAGGCAGTGCTGATGCCTTCAGATTTGAGGAGGAACCCATAAACATCAGAGTTGGAGATGTTGCAACGGTAACTTAATTCAATTAATTGTCGTTGTAGAATGATGTTCTAAAAAGCAGAAGAAAATAAGTTTTATTGTTTTAATATTAAAATGTTGATCAAATAGAATTTCTCTTCATTTAAGGATGGTTGTGGCTGTGTCCAGTGGTATAAATTGTCCGCATCCAAAATCTCCTTTGATTTTCTTAATGGCATTGTCAAATTCTGAGCTCTCTCTCTCCAGTGGCACGAATTGTCCAGCATCCTTAAATTAAGCATACTAGTAGTAGTACAAATCATCCCGTATCAAAAGCCGCTGTGGACTTCACAGTGGCATTACTACGGATTGCGTATGCCGATAGCTTTTAACATTTGAGACTTTGTAACATCAATAATTTTTATTAATGATTTCAAATATTTTTCTCCACATGCTTTCCTGCCTCTTTGTAACTTAGTCTTTCCATACGTAAGTATATATTATTAAATTTCAATGTGTTTTTTAACGTTGTTGGATTTATATAGCACTTTATACTGAAACAGTCTCAAAGCACTTGATGTGTGGACTAGCTCTTACAGTAGCTTGCTTCTCTCCTAAGGGTCTCTTCGTGTCTGAGCTACCTGGTAAACCAGTAAGAGCTTCGTCCATCCACAATATTTAGTATCATATTTCTCAGTTTTATAATCTTGTGACATCCACAATTGTGTATGTTAAATCACAGATTCTTGGGGCCTAGTTCATTTCCTTCTGCTGTTCTTGTATCTCAGCTAAAGGATTGTAATACTAACGGCATTAGGTATGTTTGGTATAAAAATAATAATGAAAATTGGTTGTTTAGCGTCAAATTACGTATCAAGACAGATGGAAAGCAGTTTGAAATGAAAGACAATGAAGAAGAGGATGAGAATGCTAATGTAGTGAAGGGACAGTTGGAAGATGCTAAGACGGATTGTCAACAAGACGAACAACAAGCTATGGATGTTGAGGTTAGTTATGTGAATCTTGTCAATACATCATACCCAACATATAGCAAAATGTAAAATAATGTAACAAGTGGTAACAAATTTCTGAGATGTGCATGATTAACATCTCAAGATTTTTAAACACACTTCTTCGGAAGCTAAATGGTAATACTGACCTACCTGCATTAATTGGAATAGGTGTACTGTGCCTAACCTAAGCTGAATTTGGCTAAATATGTCCAGTCTAAAGTAGCCAATAAGTTATGGATTAGAATTCTCTGTTTGTATTTTGTGTTAATCAAACTTCAATACGGCTAATAATTTTCATATTTAATTAGCCAATTTGCAAAACGTTAATTTTTTTACATTGTTTTTCCAGAAGTCATATTTTATTATTTTATTTTTAATTTTCCTAACAAAATTGTAAAATATTAATGTTATTTGTATTTAGGAAAGTATCATGGATGAAACAAAAACATCAGAAATAGAGCACCCAGTTGAATGTGATGGTGTGCCGGAGGGAAGTCCAGCTGTTCCTGGTATGTTACCATGCCCTATAAATTTATTAGTGCCAGAAAACTTTGTGACAAATACAAATCTTATGAATGTCATAATAAGTAGTTTCTGCAAAGCAAAATGATAATTGTGGTGATGATGCTGGTGCATATCCAAACTAGTACAATATTCAGGAGCCTGAGGACATTTTTCCTAGAAAGGATATTTCGTTAATGAAAGTTAATGAAGGTCAGGTCAGGTTCTGTCTGCTATTGGTCAAGTTCTACCTGCTACTGGTAATCATGTAAACCAGTACTACCTGTTCATGGTTGGACAGTCGGCGACTAAACCGGCTCACCCACCAGGGGCAACTCTGGTGAGGAAGGTGTGTGGACCCAAGGTAAGATTAAGAATAAAACCTGTTATGCACGGATGAGTTCATTGAGGAACCAACAGGCATCCACCGTTCCACTAGGGTGATGGGTTAGTGGTATGCCTGGGCAGGCTCACTGTAAAAGAAATTAACGCTCCAATAGCAAAATGATGACACAAACAACAAGGGCAGCAACCAGCCCAAAGGCTGCACCTGTCTACGACAATTGTCATCATGGCGTGAAAGTCAATAACCCTTTGTAAGAGGAAAAATGCTGACTTGAATAAATGGTGATGGTGATGAAGATGATGAAAATGCATACCCTTGTATAGCATATTAATAATATGTCTTTAGATACTGGATACAAAATAGCCCTCAAGAGGCCAGTAAAAGCTCCCGAGCCTTTGTAGCAAGATTCAATATGCATGGAACAGGGTGTGCCTATGTTTCACTGTGGTATCTTGTGCATCTTTGCTGTCTGCATATTAATGGACCCTACAGGATGTCAATCAACTTAACAGCTGGCCAATCAGAACAGAGCCAGGATTACACGCATGCCTTAACAAGCACATGTGTTGTTCCAAAGACATATGTGTTTGCGTATGTTTTAACACGGTTTTAACATGCTCGTTTTGTGGGACCTTTGCAACAATTCCCAAGGGGGCGGGGCTAAGCGGAAAGGTTCATTGTGCCAACTTTTAGCAAGGTACAGTATTTAGTCAGCCAAAGACACAACAGCAACCTTACAAACTTTCTTTTAAAACTTTGTAAAGAACTATTGGCACAATCATAAACAGAAAGTTTCCCCCGGGGTTGTCTACTGTAGATACATGATCCTGCAATATGTAAGCCTTACTGCTTAACCACATACTTTGACATTATTAACAACCTGTGATATTTATTTATTTATTATTTAGGTAAACGCAAAGATGCTACCTCTCCATCTGGCTCTGAAATCTATGAATCGGCTTTGGAAGATGCCCCTGTACGGTGTCCATGTGAAAGCAATGAGGTTGGTCACAGATTTTAGTGTAATATTAACACTGTTCTGCAAACCTTATGCATTTAACGAAAAACACAAATGACAGATTTGACTAAACATAGGTAGGTAATGTGCATTCTCCAAAGACACAACGAAATGCACAGTGAAGACTCGAACCCCTGACCTTGAGGTTGAGAGACCGAAATGCAAACTGGGTTTCAGTGTCTGTTGCTCCTATTATCGATATTAAAATTTACAGAAAATCATAGATAAAATTTCATAATTTGTTGCATAATATCTTTTAGAATTAAAATCTAAATGCACGTAGAACATATGCAACAAAAATTCACCCGAATAATTATAAAATTATATATAAAAAAGACATAAGAATAAAAGACATAAGAATTGCATAAAGTATCACCCTAGTTTAGAAACACTGTTCATTGTATATTTTGTAATTGTTATATGAATTGAGTTGGGAACAAAGAATGGTCTAGAGCATTTTTGAATTGCATTGAAGTTGTCATGTCCTACTGGACTTGCTTGCTACATGCTGGTCATAAAATGTATGGATGTCTTGACAAACCTTATATACTCTGTGTGTCTCTGTGGAGTTGTGTTTGAGGAGCGAGACAACTGTGATTTTAAACAGAAATAGAAGCTGACTTGTCTAGTCGTTTATAGTCATCAAGGTAAGATATCTGATGCACAATTAGTGAATAAAATTTATAAAAGGTTGTATTACCTCATGCTGAACTTTATCAGGGTAAAAAGATAGATCTAACATTTGTTTCATTTGATTTTGAAAGGATTGATCCGGGGCGAATCCAGGAGTAGCAGCAGGGCTAGCGCCCCCCCCCCCCTCAACAAAAAAAAAAAAAAAGAAGAAATGAAGAGGAAAGCATAGTACTCCAAAACAAGCTAAATTTTTTATTTCAATTCCATGTACCAGTATTTATGGTGAAGCAGTCTAAACAAAGCACCAGACCCCCTTTCCACTCAGTAATGTGCACATCACCCAACCCCTACTCAGATTTTTATCTAGGTACACCTACCACCAACCCCCCCCCCCTCCTCCCCGAAGTGCTTTTTAATTAGTAGCTGCAGTAATCATTGATATGATATGATGAATTGTGCATTATCTGTATTTTGTCTCACATTCTTAATTGTTTGTTGTGTTTCTTTTGATTATTGTGTTTTCTAGGATGATGGGTTGATGATACAGTGTGAGTCATGTAAGTCTTGGCAGCATGCTGTGTGCTTTGCAGTTATTGATGAGGATCAAGCGCCAGAAAAGCATCTCTGCAATCTCTGTGTCAATGTATGAAGTTTTTGCCTTATTTGTCAACTTTCCTAACATAGAGAAATCATTTGCTATATCTGTTTTTGTTTTAAATAATTTTGTTTAAATTTAAATTAAAAACAATTATGATTTCCACCTAAAAAGTCAATTTATAAATTGAAAATTTGGAATACTTCCATTGAATATAACATACCTTTACCATGGTAAGACACATGGGGCATGTGATGCCAAAACTAGCATCAGTCACCAAAACAGGAAAATGTGTTATATATTCTTTCCGTGACATTATAACCTTTAAAATTTTAGGTCATTTACTGTAATCAACTTACTATTGCCAATGTTATGAGCCTCTCTTTACTAAAGTGTACAATACTGCCACATTTTTTATGCTAATTACTCAGTTTAACATTTTGGGATGGCAAATCTATATATAAGAATGCTCTGCTTTACAACCATAGGTCAGACAATTCAGGATGTTTGTGTTTTTAAAAGTATTGTATGAAGCTCAGCAATTAAGATGTTATGCAAATATAAAATAAAAATTAATTATAAATTTTAATAGTTCTAATAATGTTATAAAAAATAAAATAAGCAATAATAAATAATAATAATTTTCAATTTTAATAGTTCTAATAATGTTATAAATGTATACGAGCAACAAATTTCCGTAAAAGAATGCAATAAAGTGAGTCTGAGTCTAAAGGACATGCAACTGTTATTCTGAAGAATTTTACAAATTTTGTTTTTTGTTTTCTTTGTCTTTCAGGTTAATGATCCAAACAGTCTAAAGCTCACTGACCCGTACCTGGTTGGCCAGTCACCTATCATTGTCCAGTCAACCTGTCTCTGGCGTAGGACATTGTTATCAGCTGTAGAGATGGGTCGTATGCTTGCTCCTGCCTTAGCGAAGAGACTTGATGTGGAAATTACTGTTGCTCAAGGCCTGATAAACCGCTTGGAAATTGAAGGTTATTGTAAGAATGCGGAGAAGGGTAAAAGGTTTGTAGCCCTCAACATTTTAGAAATTTATATTAATAATAACATACTGTAAGGTAGACTTATAGTGTGTCATGCTAAGACCTCTATGCGCTTAGCATTATTATTACCTCGGTCATTGGATTAAGCACCTATAGAACAAGAACTCGCTCACCGGGGGGTGGGGGGAGTATTACATAATATTACAGCAGGTAATCAGCACATTTGGCATTCTAACCCTACCAGACAGGTACCCATTTATACTCGTAGGTGGAGAGAAGCAATTCAGATAAAGTGCCTTGCTCAAGGACCAAGCGAAATTCACAGCCGAGGATTGAAATTTCGACCTCAATGAAACCAATGTGTTCTTACTGCACTAAAGCACTTTTACAAATAGTTAATCATTATAAATTATCTGTTTCTAGACTTGGAAAAATAATGGACAAACAGAAGCTGAGAGAGGACGCTTTCAAGAAGTACTTCACTAGAGGACAGTCGCTGAATTCAAAGGATGCTGGTACCGATCATCAAAATGGTGAGGCACCACTTAAAGACCGACGTCGTGAGGCGAAAAATCAGGTAAACATTATGTCCAATCAAATTTTATGAGTATGTATTTTCAATAGAATATCATATCGGTAAGTATTAGTAGTACATTTTATGGAATTTCTTACATTTCCTCTACATTCTAAAACGTAAATACTGTATTGAAAATTTCAATTTAAAAAAAATATTAATACAGCTATAAATTGCTATGCCTGAGGCCAACAGTATAATAATTGGCTACTACATGAGCAGGGATAAATACAGCCTTGTGAAAAACAATTTACTATTCAGAAAGCCTACGATTTGTCTTATCGTTTCTGTACATGCAGATTGAATAAGTTTAATATTAATGGTCAGTTTATTATGCAGTTCATTTCAATTTCAATCATAATATCATAATTACTGTAATATTGTTATGGCTGGTTAATTACAATTATAATAACATCTGTTTTGCAAATAAAAATTATTGAAATTCCAGAGTATTATGTAAAGTGCAGGTTATACATCTAAATGACACTTTTGAGCATTTGACACACAAAGACTTTGGTCTTCCACTCAAATTGTCACGAGATTCAGTCCCAATCTGATGACAAATATGCTAAAAATATATTTCATAGGCACAGATAACAACTGTTATATATACTGTATAAGACCCATGGCATATGTACAAATTTACATCAAACATAAAGTACAGTACTATTTGTGAAACGTAAACTTAGTTTCTTAGACGTGTGAGACAGTGTTCCGAGAGTTGCTGGAGTCGTACAGAAATCGCGCAGGGTGGCTGTTCCAAAGCAAAACAACGTAACTGCACAAAAATATAATAGCTATGTTGTTTTGCCATGGAACGACCGTACACTCAGTCACTCGAGCCTGCAAATAATATCTCCAGCAAACTAACCTAACCCATCTCCCACATAATCAATATACAAGAAGATTCTTTAATATTGTTTTTACTACTACTACTGCAGTTGTCTTCCTGAAGTCACCTAACCATAGGTATCACTGCATAGAAAAAAAACAAAAAAAAAAAAACCAAGAAAGCTGATTATACAAATTTTATTGAATCTTCCTGAAGTAGCTTCTCCCAACTTTGGACTCCTTGTTACCCATACAGTTACTTAACTTTGTTGAATCATCATAAATATAAAGTTAAGAAAAATCACTTTTCACACTACATGCAACACACACATGCAGTGTTCATTGTTTGATAAATAATTTACTCATTGTTGACAAACCTGATTCAGTACAAGTACTGGATATTTGTAGGATTTTATTATCTAAATTAAGTGCAGGAATTTCCTTTTGGTAATCACGATTTCATATGGTGCAATTTTTTATTTACCTTATTTGGCATACCTTTGTTAATGTGTTTTTGTATGTTTATTGTACGCCTAATCTCCAACATTTTATGATGGACCAAAAATGCATTAACTAATCATATCGGCCTTATCTAATATTTAATTAGATTTAAAGGCCTCTTCTTAATTATCAGTTCTAAATGCAATCTGTAATTTCTGTGTTAATTTTACTAACTCTGTTTAGGCTTATATTTTACAGCTGTACATACATTTTTTTCTTAAGATACTGAAATATAAAAAAATAAATGTTAAGTTTAAAATACTGTTATTTCAAATATGGATATGCCTTATTGCTGAAGGCAAAATATCAAGTGAATGTATGTACATCATCACCTTACATAAAACTTGCTTACCTTTAGATCATAAAAATGAAATCATATATGTGTCCGCAATTATTCAAATCTACTCTTAAATCATTCCTCTTCAAATAGTTCAACTTCTTTCTAACATCCTCCAGCGCCGGTGACAAGCCAGTTTTGTTTGCTTTAATAGGCGCTTTAAAAATGTGTATTATTATTATTATTATTATTAATAAACATGATTATGGATTTTTTTAGGTTGAGCTGTTGGCTCAAAGAACAGAAGAAATTGAACTTACAGAAAGGAGAATGACTAGATCACAGAGGAATTCATTTGAATTGTCTCAAAAAACTGACCTGTCACATATCAGGGAAGATAAGGTAAAGTCTCTTGCAAATAAGAATCTTGCTGAATATAACAATCACAGATACTCTACCAATCTTGCAGATACTCTACCAGTACATCTACACAAGTTTATTTTACTTCTATCTATAAAAAAATCCATAGAACATAATAAACTACTGTTGGTGGTGGGATGGTGATGATGATAATAATTGTGACTGACTTGCAAAAACCCACTGTTTGTCGCAATTTCTAATTTAGCACAAGCACCCAAAACGTTTGAGAATTAGAATTTTAAACTGTATTTTCAGGTTTTTTGCATTTTATAAAAGGAGATATATTGAGGAACATTTCTGCAAAAAATCATTCACTAAATCAAACTGAAAAATTTATTAGAATTATTTTTAAAATACAAATCTTCATAATAAATTATTGATTTTGGAGTCTTTCGAAGCTGTTTTCTCAAAACCTACATGGCCGATATCCAATGAATTTAATTTTAATAACTTTGCATAAAACTCAACCAATGTCCATCAAATAAGGCCTTATAAATAAAAAAATTACTGTGTTGACCATGCCTGACCCACAAAAAGTGTTCAAAATTGAGAGTTGGCATTTTAGTTTTTTTTTTTTTTTTTTTCACATCGAAAAATATTTTTTTAATGAGCTAAAAATGCTGGAATAAGATGGTACTACCGACCTACTCATTTTTTGGATTTTTCCAAAACGTGGCCAACACAAAGAATTTTTTTTATCAGTCTAAACATTGTTTTAAAGAATTCATGCAGAATCCAAAATACCAAAAACTCAATTTTGAATTTTCCCCACCAGATGACTGGTTTTTGCCAGAGCTGGTCACATTTAATAACATGACTTTTAATGTCGTTATAGGTTCGTCACAGTCCAAGGTTGAAGAATAGCCAAACTTCTAGTGACCGGAAGCGCCCTCGTAAGGTTGCTGTATCGGTAGACAATGTAAGTACCAATAATCAAGTAACCAATACAAATTACAATAATAAGCAATATTTAAAAAATCTTTTTTTCCACATAGTTATAAGAGATTTGGCTATTTTTCATTTCTGTAGTATTCTATAAGTAAGACTCTTGAATAATTTCCCCAACTGAGCATAAAGGATTCTCTAATATCAATGTTTTTTTTTTTAAATACATTTATCACTTTATGTTTAATATGCAAACCCTTTTGGCTGGTGTCCCAAATGTTATCCTTGATAAACTTGGCATATTACTTTACCTCCACATTTTTTTTAGGAAAACTTTTTTTTTTTCATATCTCTGTAGGAAATGTAACGACGGATTTTGTTGAAATTAATATTTCCGGAACAATCTTCATGTGTTTTGAGCCCTGATTATTATAAGGAATGATTGACAACGATAATAATCAAAAAAGAATTAAAAATTTTATACAAATTATTCTGATATTAATGATGTCAGGGTCAGTCATCCAATGAAGCAAACCATCTGTTCTTCATGTTATTCCGGAAGTTGCATATTTATGAGATAGAATTTATGATTTTATACAAATTCTGATATTAAGTAATAATGTTAATAATGTAGTTTACTGGATTTATTAATGGTATACCAATCAAAAATTGTTTTTCCACAAGATCCCAATACACACAGTACAGTAGGGTATGTCTCCCAATATATCCCAATTCCCAACTAAAAGGAGTAAGTCTTTCGTTTCATTGGCTCTAACACAATCTAATCATCAATAAATTCTGTAATTGAAAGCCAAGGAATGTATTCTCCTATTAGAAATGTGATTATCACCATGATGAGGTAAATAATGATAATAATAATAATAAATAAAGTATCAAACAATAATAATGATAGCGATAATGATGCTAACAACAGTTATGAAAACTATGTGGATGTTTTTTTCAGACTCATTTTCTGTTACTTTTTATTTTTTTAATTTTTATATAGCAAAACGAATTTGAACTATGTAATAGCCAGGACATGGAACAAGTTGTAAATCCAGGTAGAAAACGACGAAAAGCAAGCATTGCAAAGAAGTCTGTGGCAGTTTAATGATGCTCACCCTACAGGTTTTACAGAGGTCAGCGACAGGTTAATCATAGTACCCCCAAATACATCTGTAAGTGATATGCTTGCATATTGTTACAATGGGTTTTTCAAATGTAAATATGTTTATTCTTGTTGATGAAATTTCTGAAGTTTATAATAAATTTTACATTAAAAAAATATATATTATATAAAAATGTTATTTATTTGAAAACATTATGAAGTCAATTTCATGATTGATATTTCAGAATGACAATTCAATCAATATCTTCTACAGTGTGTACCGTACTGAACATAAAATTGAAATACAGATAATATATATGCAGTAGTCAAGTGATATTCTCATGAATGCATCCGTTTTTATTATGAAGTATTTTCATAGAAGTATTTATGAAAGTTTTTATTAAGCTTGTTAGCATGTTTTTAAAAATTGAATTCTGATCTCTTTTTTTTTTCCTTTTTTTTTTTTGCACTGAATTTAATACAAATATATTGTTTTGTCATGTTTTTGCAGATCGCTCATTCAACCTACCTCTCTGGGTTACTTTTAAGACTACAATACAATATTTTTCAATAAGTAACCCTTTTTATATTCAAATATAAAGAATTATTCAGTCAGTTACTACCATTACAAATTATGGTGCACATATAAAGCCTAAAGCAAACTGGTGGCTAAGTGTGGACTGTTGTAAATCAGCTTTTAACTTACCTAAGCCTCTACCCCAACATGCATTTCAGTATTAATGTAGTAAGTAAAATTTAATTCCTTGATATGTTGAGTGGCATATTTAGATTTTTCATGGTGAGTTTTATTTATTATTTACTTCCTTTATCAAAGATGTTCTCTTTTTGGTAAAACATTATGCTTTCATTTTTTACTCTTTTTTTTTATGTAACTAAAATGTTAGAAAAGGGAACGCACACAGTGTGGCTTTATAATCAGCCCTTTGACAGACAGTTGTTGACATTCTGATATTTAAACTTAATTCCTGTTGTCAGATGTTAGGTTATCATTCCCTGAAGATATAAACAAAAAAATTAATGTTAACATCTACCCACCTGTTTTTGAAATTACACTCTGTTGCATGCTACTATTATTAGTACAAACTATGTAATAATATATTTAACTTGGCACAATGTACCTTGTAGCTAAGCCCCACCCCCTTTGATATTCTCTAGTTAAGGTTCAGCAAAATGACAACGTGAACATATGTAAATAAGCGCTTGTACAACATATGCCTGTTCTGATTGGTTAAGTGTTCTGTTTGATTGACACTCCAGAAAGTTCCATTATGTAATTATTTTTTTTTAGGTCTCAACAATAAATTTGGTAAACATCATCTAATGGAGTGTTGGTTAACATTTTTGAAAAGTAAACACCTGTCTCTTATACACATCTAGATGTGTATAAGAGACAGCAANNNTTGTGTGTTTGTTGTCAATAGATTTACAAATGTTATGCCTTTCACTATGAAGATAGTACCAACTATTGAACATGGCATTTTTATAATATTGATAGGAAATGTCAAATTATTGCACAATTACTTTAAAGTCCAAAGGAAACATTTCGTTAGTCTTCATTAATTAGCAATTATAAATTCTGACTGCTAATACTTTTGTTTTTAAATTCTAACTATTAAACCCATGGTCAAGTTTTTCCCAGTTTCCTGCAGAGGGCCACCTGGTAATAGGCACATAATGTCAATGCTGTGATAATAGTTTAACAGATTTAACAAACATAGGATAACAAAATAAACCGAAGTGCTTGTGCATCAAATAAATTCATTCAATCAATCAATCTTGCAATTGCTTACAAAATTCAGATTTTATCTAAAATTTAATCAGCTAAAACCACACCCCACAGTCGCAACTATGTTTTAACGAAAAATGCTTGCAAATGTGTGAAAGGAAGTGGAGAAAAAAAAAATGTTTTAATAATTATAATGATGATTATACTAACTAATGATAATAAATAATAAATATAATAATATAATAATAATACTAGTAAAACGAATATGGATAAAATACAATAATGCTGAGATTAGTGGTATTACAATATCAACAACAGTAATATAATAATAATAGTAATAATAATAATAATAATAAACCTAGTTATAAAGCTAATTATAATTAAATACAATAAATTGATATTAATAATGATAATAATTATTGATTATAATAATACAAAAATAAAGAATTTCTGAAAACTGATTGGGCTTTGTATTGTTAATTTAAAATTTGAATAAATGTTTAGTTAATATGTTTCATATTATCATATTGGTTAAAGTATTCATTCTTTAACAAATAAGGCCAAAATGTGCAATCTGTTTTTTTTTAAGTTAATGTATTATAACTAAATACATTGATATCTGATATCTCTTGCTTTTAAATTTTATAAGAATAATTGATATTCTTTCTTTCATTGTAAGAAAAGAAAATTAATATGTTCTTTTCACAACTGATCATTACAGAAAATTCATTTTTACACACTTGAATCATGTGCTTGATTTTTTTTATATCCCATCAGGCAACAAAGTAATTTCCCTATTCAAATACTTTTTTGCTTTCCTAAGTATTTGTATACAATTTAAAAAAAAAATCCTCCACCCACATTCCAGAGAGAGTAAGTGAATTATTAGATACCTGTTTCCAACTACTATCACAGCATTGACCTAAAAACACTCTGTTTGGCAAATTATTGATTGAATAGTTATTTTCTCAACTTTTTTCATCTGTCCACTTGGTCTTGTGCTTTCCACAATTATTGACATATGGTTGTAAACACATTCAATGACAGATCTAGAAATAGTGGAGCCCAGAAAACCAAGTTTACAGATTCGCTTATGACATTTGTTATAACAAACTCAAAATGTAAACTGTTTATCGTTATTGGAATTATTGCATAATGACAATTTTCGGTGACTGATCCATGAACAAAAAAATATTGATAATTTAAGTGTACTACAAAAGTTATAATATTAGCAGTGCACCTCATACCAGACTTTAATTAGATTACATTAAGAATTTATTTTTTATGAACAGAATTATTTTACAAATCATTTATATAAATAATATGTTCTGTGATATATATATTATCCGTATTTTTGTTTGATTATGGTGTGCTGTTTACAGGTGGCTGGTTTTTTTTTTCCTTTGGAGTACTGTAGTGTTAAATAAGTATGAATATTCAGATGTAGCCTTTTTTGGTGATGTATGATTTTAAAAATCATATGAATTTTATTATATCATTATACAACTCTTATTATGTTTTGTTAATCTTTCAAACATGGGTGTCAACAATATTTTAAAATATGAAATACATAGACATACACTATAGGAATATAGATTTTTGTTATAATTATTATATTCTTGTGGGAAATTTTTTATCATATATTACAGAAATCCATATAATACTAGCTTTGTTTTGTTTTAAAGTGCAATTCTACAATTGTTTAAAATATATGCATGAATGCATACTGTGCAATTTATTTAAAGAAAAAAAATATTGTCGAATTCCTAATAATAATAATAATAATAATTAATATTATCAATGATTTTTATCACAATGAAGATGTATAAAGAGTTATGGTTGTAAGTTATACTGTTCATAAGAATAGTAGTTGGACTCTATAGGAAGTGGAGGCTATTGTCTTAAGTGTTGTTAAAGAAATTTCATGTTCATGTTGCAAGATCGAGTTTAAATCTAGTTACTTGTTGCCATCATTGTTCTGATGTTTGTTTCGTCAATATACGTTATGAATACTTTATGAGCATTTAGTATTGGTTTGACTTATATTGAATTTTATATGATCAGGTAGATAATAAATACATGGCAAAGAAGATGATACTGATGGTGACGGCTACGGCAACAACGACGACGATGGGGATGATGATGATGATCCTGATAACGACGATGTTGGCTGCACAATGACGACGATGATGGTGTTGATGATGATGGCATTGGTAATGATGACAATAACAATCTTGGTAACGATGGTGATAATGATGTTGACTGCAATTATAGTGATGATGATTGATGACCATGGTAACGGTAATGATAATATTTTGACGTTGGCTGCAATGATAGTGATGACTGATGACAATGATGATGATGGTAACGATAAGAATTATGTTGGCTGCAATGATGGTGTTGATGATGATAATAATATTTTGATAACGATGATATCAATAATTAAAATGGCTTCAACGATAGTGATAATCATTATGATAATGACGTTAGATAATGATGAATTTGATTATAAAAATGGTGATAAACGATTATAACAACAATAATGATGTTGAATGCCATAATGGTGATGATTGATGATGCCGACGAAGATTTTTTGTCGACTTGAAAACTTTATGGATCTTCGGTAATATTGTCTTCAAAGAAGCACAAGTTTCCAACTATCATTAAGTCACAGATCGAACAAAGTAAAAAATAAAAAATATTTACACAATTTTCTGGCAAAAATTGGTGTGGGTATTTTCCTCTTTCTATTTTCAGTTTCAAAAATAAACAAAGCAAATCGTTTTTTTTTTTTTTTTTTTTTTTTATCTCCAACTTTATTAGGTTATTAACATAGCAGATTATCATTCAGCATGCAACACATTGATTTTTGCTGAATGTTTTTTACATGCTGAATGGTCGATGTAATTTAAAAGTAATTTAGTGTTCATTTGTCCCACGAGGCTGACACCCGAATGTGTTTTAACGAAACCTGAAAATAATTCGTGAATGAAACAAGCATTCTTTGTTTTTATCACATTGTTCATAATCTATATAAATTACTGTACAAAATCCATGAATAGAATGCATTGCGAGCATGATGAGTGTTTGTTTGGCTCATTTTCAGACATTGTACCTCTAGGCATTTTAAAATAAGGTACGAATTTGACCTGTCCTCAATTTTACGAATCGTTCAATACATCTTGTGATCGGTCCCATACTGGAAAACGATACATTTACATACAATTGAGTTTCACCTGTGAAGTCTCCTGGGCCATCCCAGTCGAAGGTAAGGAACATCCCCATCCAATTCCCAGCCATCTGTGTGTTCGCTCCTCGATTGGCGCTTGGGTCCCATAAATACACAGGAATGTTTTGATTTGGTGGGCGCACAGTTATTGGACCAGGAAGATACACTGAAGCTTTAAAAAATTGGTATTGGAAGAATTTAATGTTTACGATGTATAGCAAAGTGGATTATAATATTGTATGCCAGCCCCTCCGCACTTTCGGAGGTGCCCGACTACCCTTGCCCCACCACTCCTGACGAATTGCTTGTTAGCATCCACATTTTATTGTAGCATTATGTAGCACCGTTATATTACAAAAGAAACAACGTGTCGCTGTGTTGCATGGATTTTGGCTCATGTGAATTTTTTTCTTATCCCTTAAGGGTCGTCTTTTCGTGTCTGAGCTACCCGGTAAATCGGTACCAGCTAGGCCTATCTCTCGTTTGTCCACAACTGTAATCTATCTGCGACTGCATCACAATGATTGTATCAATAAAGTTTTTGGTCAGAAACCAATCAACAGATCTGTTTAAAAATATGCCCGTCGTAGTCTGTAATTACACTGAAAGAAATAAGAATTCGAAATGAACATCTGTCGCGGATCTATCGGACGATGGCGTCGATGTCAATTTTAAGAAATAATACTCAATTAATTTTCACTGGCAAAGTACAACACCAGATTCCCGGGTGCTGCACACCCCTTACTTTCTAGAGTAAACAATTTCTATCAGGCCGAATGGCAATAGTAATACAGTAGTAATAAAAATGGTGGGCTATCATAGCATAGTCTTCATATATTTATTGTTTGATTATATATTGTAAAACCTCGAATTGAAGCCCAGTGGGCTTAATCTCGAGTTGAAACCCATTTCGAATAGAATCCTCCCCACCCACTTTAGTTTGAAAAATTAGACACGAAAAGAAGCCCAATGGCTTCTTTTTAAGAGATAGCACATGGCTTCTTTTTGAGATAGTACAGTACAAACACTGTACATGAATATCAGAAAACAAAATAAATTAAAAACAAGCCATGATTTATTCAGTAGTTTAGGTGATTAAATTCCATTTAAATACACTTCGTGGTACAGATTGATGTTAGAGTGGCCTTATTTATTGTTTTATAGTACAAATTCACAAAATTTACAGCATTCATTTTGAAAAGAAGCCCCTCTTTTCTTTGCAAAAGTAGCCTCGAAAAGAAGCCCATCTCGAAATGAAGCCCATCTCGAAAAGAAGGCCATTCAAAGTTCGCAAAAGAAAGAAGCCAAGGGCTTCTATTATAGGTTTTACGGTATATTATCGGCAATAAGTCTGACCAATCGCCTATTAGATATTATTGTACTGTTCCAACTTTCTCATAATGTTAATCAGTCATGCTGAAGAGGACCTGAGGTCA